AACTACGTGGTCATCCAGGTCCCAGTCGAGGTCAAATACGACAGCCACATCATCTGAAAAAAGTGCTGTTCAGACTCTGGGGCGCCCCCAGACTCTGGGGGTTGGGGGTTGCTCCGACTTTGTCTCTCGTTGTCCGACTGTGTCTCCTCGCTCATACCCCCTGCCTCATTCTCCTGGTCCTCCTCCCTGTTTCTCTTCCTACTCCCTCTTCGCCTGCTTTTCCAGTCCTTTTCTTCCTATTCCTCCTTTTCCTCCTCCTCCTCCTCAACCTCCTCCTCCTCCTCCTCGCCCCCAGTGCGCCCAGGAGGCTTTCAAGATGGCCCCATGACGGCCCAGGAGGCCCCAAAGACGGCCCCAAGAGGCCTCTAAGACGCCCAAGATGGCCTCCAAGACGGCCCTGAAGCGCCTCAAGAGGACCCCACATCGGTTCAGAGAGGCCCCCAAGACGGCTTCCGACGGCGTCAGACCCGTCAGACGGGCTAGGAACGATTTAAGACTGCCAAGGAGAGGCCCCCAAGACGCCCCCACGGCCCCCAAGAGGCCCGTAGGCGTCTTGGATCCGCCCCCCCCTGTGCTTGCCACAGGGTTGGACGGCGTGCCAGACATTTTGCTGAGATTCTGATTTTCAAACCCTTCCCAGTGGCCTTCGGCCCAGACCGCCTGCCCCTCGGAAGGACCAGAAGGTGTGGCTCACATCGTCACCAAGACGGCTCAAACGGCTTAATATGGTCATTAAGATGCCTTTAAGGCGGCTAGGATCGCTCCAAGAGAGCCCAAGACGGCTCCAATATGTCTCCAAGACGGCCCAAGATGCACCCGAGGCGTCCAAGATGGCCCCAAGATGGCCCAGGACGGCCCAAAAGGCCCCCAAGAGGCTTTTAATGCAGTCCAAGAAGCCTCCAAAGGGATCTGCAGGAAGGCCCGAAGAGGCCAAGACAGCTGATTTCCCGTGGGCTCTTGATGGATTTTGACGTTTTCGGCCTGCCGACGGCCCAATGCCGCCGAAGAGACCCCCAAGATGGCCCCAAGAGCGCCCAAGAGGCCTCCAAGACGGCCCCATGACGGCCTCCAGACCGTCCAAGAGGCCCCCAAGGCGCCTCCAAGACGGCCCACGAGAATTCCAAGGCGCCCACGATGGCCTTCAAGACGGCTCCAAAACGTCCAAGATGGCAACGATACGATTCGACATAGCCCCAGGATGTCCCAAGACAGCCACAGAGGGCCCCAAGGGCCCCAAGGGGATGCAAGGGGCCTCCTAGACAGTCTAGGAAGTCTTCAAGAGGACCTCCAGGAGAGCCCGAAATGCCCAAATGGTTGTATTTATTCCCTTCAATTGTTGAATAATTTGGGCGCGTTTTCTTTTTCGGCTGTCCGACGGCCCAAGATGTCCACAAGATGGTCCCAAGACGGCCCAAGCTGACTTCAAGATGGCCCCAAAAGGGCCCCAAAGGGCGAGGAAACAGTCCAAGAGGAAGAGCAAGAGGAAAGGACGGAATCAGAGGCCCGAAGCGGCTCCGAGAAGCCTGCAGCTCAGCGCGGGCTCGTCTGCGGACGCCCTTGCCCCCCCCCCAGGACAAACATATCACCCCGAGGCCCGGTGATGTTTTGTGGGGCCGCCATCTCAAAGCCTCACGGCCAGCTTTTGGGTCGAGGAGGAGGAGGGGCAGGAGGACGAGGAGGTGATCAACAGGAACCAGAGGAGCAGGAGCAGCAGGAGGACGAGGAGTTTGAGCAAGGGGTCAAGGACGGAATGATAGGCCAGAAGCGGCTCCGAGACCAGACCGCGCTGAGCTGCAGGGTTTTCGGAGCCGCTTAAGGCCTCTCATTTCGTCCTTGTCCCCCTGCTCAACCTCCTCGTCCTCCTGCTCCTGATTCTCCTGGTTTTGCTCCTCTTCTTCCTCGACCCAAGAGCCGGCCGTGGGGCCTTGAAAGGGCGGGCCGAAAAAATGTCACCGGGGGCCGAGCTGCAGGCTTCTCGGAGCCGATGCGGCCAAAAAGAGGCTGCCCTGCAGGCTGTCTCGGAGCCGCTGCGCCAAAAGAAGGACACCTTGTCGGTTTAACTACTAGGTCGCTTTGTCGGCTGATTTCGGGCGCGTCGTCATCGTGGTCGTCGTTGTCATCGTCGTCGTCGTGGTCGTCGTCGTCACCACCATCGTCGTGGTCGTCGTCGTCGTCGTCGTCGTTGTCGTCGTCGTCGTCGTCGTCGTCGTCGTCGTCGTCGTCGTCGTTGTCGTTGTCGTCGCCGTCCATAAGATGGCCCCGAGAGGGCCCTAAGAGGGCCCCAAGAGAGCCCCAAGAGGGCTCCGAGAGGGCCCCAAGAGGGCCCCAGGAATTATGTACCAATCCAGCGGCCGCTGGTACATAACTCCTGAACCCTCTTGGGACCCTCTGAGGGCCCTCTCGGAGCCCTCTCGGACCCCTGGTTGGCCCTGTAGGGCCCCAAGAGGGCCCCAAGAGGGCCCCAAGAGGGCCCCAAGAGGGCCCCAAGGGCCCCAAAAGGGCCCCAAGAGGGCGCCAAGAGGGCGCCAAGAGGGCTCCAAGAAGGCCCCAGGAATTATGTACCAACCCAGCGGCCGGTGGTACAGAACTCCTGGGGCCCTCCTCCTCCTCCTCGGCGACGACGACGACGAGGAGGTGTAAACGCACCCTTACCCAGCCCCTGCAGGACCAGGCAGCGATACTTGGACCAAATTTCCTGGCCCCTGTTTCGACCCCAGAGCTCTCGACCCCGTCCAGGAGCTCCCGACCCCAACCCGGAGCTTTCGGCCCCATCCTGGAGCTCTCGACCCGCAGACGACGGCGACGACGACGACGACGACGACGACGACGCCTCGACCTGGAGTGGAAAATTTTGCTGCTGCTTTCCCCAGGGGTTTGGAGCCCTCGGGGCCCAGGGGGCCCCCGAAACGGATCCGAAGCCTCAAATTTTTCCGGCCCGCGACCGACGACCGGCGACAACGACGACGACGACGACGACGACGACGACGACGACGGGCATAAGTTATTTGGCGCCCCCCCTTGGGAGCATCGGGTAACTGGGGGGTGCGCTCCACACCCCCCACTTACCCGGTGTCCCCCAGGGGACATCGGGTAACTCGACCTTGCAGGGGGGGGTGTTAGGCACGGGTTACCCGGTGGCGAGGGGGGGGCATCGGGTAACTCGACTTTGCACGGGGGGGAGTCGGGCATGAGTTACCCGGTGTCCCCTGGGGGACATCGGGTAAGCGGGGGGTGCGCTCCACACCCCCCACTTACCCGGTGTCCCCCGAGGGGCGTCGAGTAAGTCGACCTTGCAAGGGGCGCATTCGGCATTATTCAGTAAACTGGTGGACCCCCATGGGACATCGGAGTTACCCGGTGGTCCCCGTGGGACATCGGCCCGTGGGACATCGGAGTTACCCGGTGTCCCCCGGGGGACATCGGGTAACTCGACATTGCAAGGGGGGTCTGGGCATGGTTACCCGGTGGCCTCCCGTGGGACATCGGAGTTACCCGGTGTCCCCCGTGGGACATCGGAGTTACCCGGTGGTCCCCGTGGGACATCGGCCCGTGGGACATCGGAGTTACCCGGTGTCCCCCGTGGGACATCGGAGTTACCCGGTGGTCCCCGTGGGACATCGGCCCGTGGGACATCGGAGTTACCCGGTGTCCCCCGTGGGACATCGGAGTTACCCGGTGGTCCCCGTGGGACATCGGCCCGTGGGACGTCGGAGTTACCCGGTGTCCCCCGGGGGACATCGGGTAACTCGACCTTGCAAGGGGGGGTCTGGGCACGAGCCTATACCGAATGTACCTGGTGCCCCCCCGTGGGACATCGGAGTTACCCGGTGTCCCCGTGGGACATCGGAGTTACCCGGTGGTCCCCGTGGGACATCGGCCCGTGGGACATCGGAGTTACCCGGTGTCCCCCGTGGGACGTCGGAATTACCCGGTGGTCCCCGTGGGACATCGGCCCGTGGGACATCGGAGTTACCCGGTATCCCCCGTGGGACATCGGAGTTACCCGGTGGTCCCCGTGGGACATCGGCCCATAAGATGGCTCCAAGGGGTCCCTAAGACTGGGCTGGTACATAACTCCTAGGGCCCTGTTGGGGCCCTCTGAGTGCCCTCTTGGAGCCCTCTTGGGCCCCTGGTTGGCCCTAGGAGGGCCCCAAGAAGGCCCCAGGAATTATGTACCAATCCAGCGGCCGCTGGTACATAATTCCTGGGGCCCTCTTGGGGCCCTCTGAGGGCCCTCTTGGAACCCTCTTGGGCCCCTGGTTGGCCCTAAGAGGGCCCCAAGAAGGCCCCAGGAATTATGTACCAACCCAGCGGCCGCTGGTACATCACTCTTGGGGCCCTCTTGGGGCCCTCTGAGGGCCCTCTTGGAGCCCTCTTGGGGCCCGGGTTGGCCCTAAGAGGGCCCCAAGAGGGCCCCAAGAGGGCTCCAAGAGGGCCCCAGGAATTATGTACCAACCCAGCGGCCGCTGGTACATAACTCCTTAACCCTCTTGGGGCCCTCTTGGAGCCCTCTTGGGCCCCTTGTTGGCCCACATGATGGCTCCAAGAAGGCCCTAAGAGGGCCCCAAAACGGGCCCAAGAGGGGCCCAAGAGAGGCCTCAGAAACCGCTAGTAGGTGTCATCGATCAGCGCGTCTGGATGAGACCTCTCAGTGGTCTCTGGGGCGCGTCTTGGAGCCCTCTGGGGGCCCTCTGGAGACCCCTGGGTGCTCCCAAAAAGGTTCCAAGGGACATCCGAAGGGGTGGAGGAGGAGTTGGACGGGGAGTGGAGGGGGAGGTGGAGGGGGGGCTGAGGTGGGTGGTGGAGGGGGGGGTGGAGGGGGGGTGGGGGGGTTGGTGGAGGGGGAAGGGAGAGGGAGAGGGAGAGGGGCTTGATTAGGAAACTGGAAGAGGTTTGACGACCACGACGACGACGACGACGATGACGACGACGACGATGACGGCGACAACCACGATGACGAGTGGGCGCCTTGGAGTTCTCGTGGGCCGTCTTTTTTTTTTTTTTCTCCAAATCGAGGACCCAATACCATAACATGGAGGGGAAACATGTGTGCTCAGAACTGTTGGGCGTGGACACATTCCAGATTCCAGCGCGACTAGCAGGATCTCGAATTACGCTCAGATCCCGCACGTACGCGTCAAAATAGGTGGCGGGCAGCGTGTCCCTTCAGAGCTCAGCTGCAAAGAGAGAGTGTGGCAGGGAGGGGGGAAGAGAGAGAGAGAGAGAGCAAACAGATCGAGCTGCAAAAAAAATGGCCCTGCGAGTGATGCGAAACACGTCTTGTGCTCAGGGGCGGCGTGCACAACCTTGGGTGCAGTGCTTGTGGCAAGCATCCTAGCAAGCACATGCCCCCCCGACATTCAAACTCCAAGACTGTGGATGCGGGCGTGGGCGCCTGTTCTGGCCCAGCGCGCAGCACGGAACCAACCCATGTGCCAGCTCTTGGCACGGCGCTTGGGCAAAACAAATACTACTAGAACGACCCTACAATGAGGGAGACTGCAAGAATGCGCCAAGACCAATGCAACCCTGAGAAAAAGAGGGAATGTAACGGGACAGTTGGGACTGGTGGGGACAGTGGGGACGGTGGTGGGAACGCAGTGGGAGCAGATCTGCACCGGCGAGGCTGGCCTCGGCATTCCTCGGCGGTTCTGTGCCCCCCCCCCACCTCCTTGGGCGCGGCCAGAACCTAAGTGCGCGAGAAGCATGGCGCGCACGTGAGATTGTCAGCAAACATCTGCCAACGCACGCAGACTTTCGATGCCTCATTGAGATGCCTAGATTGACTGCAAGTTGGTATCGTCAGAACATTTGTAATCGTGGGCAGCTATCAGGGTCGAGCGGACCGAGCGGGCCGTGCGGACACTATTAGATCCAGTGGGATCGATGGAATGGCGGAACAACTCTTCCCACTGGGTCGTTTTGAGGCTCGAGCAGACGGACTCGGCAATATCAATGAAACCCTTGCCAAAATACTCTGGTGGGAACACGTCCTTCTTCTGGCGCTCCACAGCAGTGTAGACCGTATCATCTCTGTCCTTGGTGAGCACGGCATACATCCAGAGAGAACAGATGACGCCTTTGAGGCGATGTCTGTCCTCGGGATCGGTGAAGTCTCCGAGGCAGACCCGTATCGCGAGGTCGAGCCAACTCTCGTTGGAAGCCAGGCTTACAGGGTCGGTCGCGAACTCGCGCAGGCTCTGTCCGTCGTAGGAGTACATGCCGCTCAGGCCACCGACGCTGACGCGCGCCCACTGCTCGAGGCGGCACCTGCCACGCTGGAAGTACGTCTTCGACGAGCACACGTGGCCCATCTCGTGGCCTGCCTCTGGCGTCAGGCAGACGAAGAACCGGGGAAGGGTCGCGTAGACCTGGATGGAGCCAATCGCCAGACGTTGCATCGTCTTGTTGTCCTGCGGGATGCACGTGTAGTCAACCCAGATGTACGTGCTGTCGTGCTCGAGCCCGTTGCGTTCGATCAACTGCTCGCACATGGCGCACGCCTGGTTGAAATGAACGTTCTGTGGATCTGGCCTCTGCGTGCCCAACCACTGGTGGGACAAGAAGACGACGGCGTTCTCGTTGCAGAAGAGCCGGGCTCGATCGTAGGTATCGAAATTGATGTGCAGCCCACGCTCTCGGGCCTCCTCGTACTGTATGAGAGCCCCACCTTCCACAAAGTCACGAAAGGAGATGAGCACCATGTTGCACCCAAGCTGCATCAGCTTCGCAAACTCATCCTTGGCGTGCCGCTCGCCCTGCTCGCGCTGCTCCCGCTCGGCGCGCAGGGCCCGGGCGACGCGCCTGGCCGCGTGGGCGACGGCGCCCAGCACCAGCAGCGAGCCGACGACGACGCCGACCGTGAGCAGCACGATGGCAGCCACGTTCTCAGCGGACTGATCCTCTGGCGGCTCGTACGGGGCAAGGCCCAGGCTCGCACGGTAATAGTCCCGCTGGCTCTCCAAGCCATACTTGTTGGTGACCGCGTTCCAACCCGCGACCATCCTGGCCGTCGTGTCCGCCAGCGAGCTGGCGCCTTTCCAATACTCGACCAGGTACTTGACGGTCTCCGACTCTGTATACTCAGCACCGCCTGGAATGCGTATGTCAAGCGCGGCGTTTGGCGAGCTGAAGACGTCTTCGACCAATTCCTTCAGAGGTTGCAGCTGCCGTTCCTCCCAGCCCTGGTCCAAGAATGCTTGCTTCTTCTCGTTCGAACCTGAGAGTGCCAGGGCTTCGACATGGCTGAACCTGAAGGGGTCTAGTAAAGTACCCGGGTTCGATACGATCAAGTACCCGATCTCTGGGTCAGACATCCATTTAAAATAATCGAACATGGCATCTTTCTTGTTGCCGTCCGTTGAGGCTCTGATCTGTCCAGCAGCGCCACCCCCAGCGTAGAAAGGGGCGTAGTTCACCCCGTTCTGGGCGTGCAAGCAGTTCAGGCCGAAGTCCTCGCACGCGACGCCAGGCAGTTTGACGACGCTGAGCTTCCCAGTCAGATTGTAGGCAGTGGCTGCACCCTGGTTGGCGATGATCATCTTGACTGGGCCAGGGAAGTTGATCGTGAAGGCGCAGCGACCCTCGTCAAAGTACGAGTTCAGCGTCTGCCAGTCCGTCTCGCCTAACGACGCGAAGGGGCTCGCGAGGACCAGGCGCTTGTAGATCTCCATGGCGACGCCGAAGATGGAGTCATGCATCTTAGGAGCCATGGTGCCTGGGTCGAAGAAGACACCCTCTTCTGTTCCCTGCGTCTGCAAGAAGGGCGCCATGGCAGCCCAGAAGAGCTGACCAGCGATGTCAGCTACCTTGGTCGAAACGCAAATCCCAAAATCTAGCTCGCCATCTCCGTTATGGTCCTTGTTGTGGAGCAGTTCGGCTGCATCTGCCAATTCTGTGAACGTTTGCGGATGTGGGATCCCGTACGCCTCGAGCAAATCGATGCGGTAGATGGCTTGGATGACATCACCATCGAGTGGGACCATGTAGATATCGTTCTTGAATGTAGCGCTATTCTCGCGAACCGACGGGTAGATGTCGAGCCAGCCAATGGAAGGCTGGTTCCTGACTCGGTCCGTGAGTGGTTCGATCAAACCTTGCGAGGCAAACTCGGGCATCCATGCACCGAAGAATATGTACCCGTCGCACATCTTGGCATACTTGAGGTCCTGTTCGACGTCATCGTGCCAATTGGCATTGTTCGTAACTTGAAAGTCCGGCGTGCATCCTGTCACAGAACAGAAATCGATCAACGACTGCTTCATGAACGTCTCCTGGAAATCCGCAATTTGCAGCCGCACCGTCACTCCCTCGTATATGCCCTCGATCCCGAGGAGGAAAGTTGACAGGTACCTCTCGTCTGAAATGCCAGTGGCGATCGACACCTCCTCGGCACACCTCGCCACGCAAGTCTGGTTGTCGGCGGAACCTTCCGCGGACGGCAGCAGCACCCCGGCCAGCCAGCACCCGACCGTCAGGATGCGCGCCATGGAGGCCTCCTTCTGCGGCCGGCGCAGGAAAAAAGACCCCTGCAGGGAGAGCCGCCCCGCGCAGAGCAGTGAAGGCGCGCGCGAGCTTGAGCCAAAATGGCTACGGATGGAGTTCTCGTGGGCCGTCTTGGAGGCGCCTTGGGGGCCTTTTGGACCGTCTGGAGGCCGTCGTGGGGCCGTCTTGGAGGCCTCTTGGGCGCTCTTGGGGCCATCTTGGGGGTCTCTTCGGCGGCACTGGGCCGTCGGCAGGCCGAAAACGTTAAAATCCATCAAGAGCCCACGGGAAATCAGCTGTCTTGGCCTCTTCGGGCCTTCCTGCAGGTCCCCTTGGAGGCTTCTTGGACTGCATTAAAAGCCTCTTGGGGGCCTTTGGGGCCGTCCTGGGCCATCTTGGGGCCATCTTGGAACGCCTCGGTTGCATCTTGGGCCGTCTTGGAAACATATTGGGGCCGTCTTGGGCTCTCTTGGAGCGATCCTAGCCGCCTTGGAGGCATCTTGGTGGCCATCTTGGGCCATTTGGGCCGTCTTAGTGGCGATGTGGCCACACCTTCTGGTCCTTCCGAGGGCAGGCGGTCTGGGCCGAAGGCCACTGGGAAGGGTTTGAAAATAAGAAGAGCAGCAAAATGTCTGGCACGCCGTCCACCCCTGTGGCAAGCACAGGGGGCGGCGGATCCAAGACGCCTACGGCGAATCACCGCCGCCCCCAGCCTTTTTGAGAAGCGCCTATGTGGCCAAACGTTGGGCCCCAGCTTGGCCAAGCTATCTGATTATGTATTCCCCCAGCCGCTCCGGAAACTCTTCGGGGAACACTTGGGGGAGGCTGAGGGGGAGGATCAGGAGAGGGAGGAGGGAGGAGGAGGAGGAGGAGGAGGAGGAGGAGGAGGCCTCTTGGGAGCCTCTTTGGGCACTCTTGTGGGGCCTCCTGGAGGCTTCCCGGGGGCCTCTTGGAAGCCTCACGGGGGCCTCCTTAGGCCTCTTTGGGGCCGTGGGGGCGTCTTGGGGGCCTCTCCTTGGCCGTCTTGAAGCGTTCCTGGCCCGTCTGACGGGTCTGACGCCGTCGGAAGCCATCTTGGGGGCCTGTTTGAACCGATGTGGGGTCCTCTTGAGGCGCTTCAGGGCCGTCTTGGAGGCCATCTTGGGCGTCTTAGAGGCCTCTTGGGGAGGAGGAGGGGGAGGAGGAGGAGGAGGAGGAGGAGGAGGAAGAGGAGGAGGAAGAGGAGGGGGAGGGGGAGGAGCAGGAGGAGGAGGAGGAGGAGGAGGAGGTTGAGGAGGAGGAGGAGGAGGAACAGGAGGAAGAGGAAGAAAAGGACCTGGAAAAGCAGGCGAAGAGGGAGTAGGAAGAGAAATAGGGAGGAAGACCGGGAGAAGGAGGCAGGGGGTAGGAGCGAGGAGACACAGTCGGACAGCGAGAGACAAAGTCGGAGCAACCCCAAACCCCCAGAGTCTGGGGGCGCCCAAGAGTCTGAGCAGCACCTTTTTGTGGCCTACCACACGCTGGTGTCGCCTGCCCGGAGAAGAACCTCACCGGAGAGGCTGCGGAGCCGCAGTCCACGCGCCGCTGCGAGGCGCAGGCTCCAACCAAGGGCCTCCCGAGGACGGCACGAGGACCCCACCTGAGGACAGCGCACGTGCCACAATCAGCGCATTTAACCCCCGGCTTGCTGCCGTGCCGGCCCTGTGCGGGGGGCCCAGAACCCCCGACGTCAGGGTTTTTCGCCAGCTCGACCTCTGGGAAGGTCTCGACCACCTCCCCAGGACCCTGTTTTTCAACCTTGTTGACGGTCCCGTGGCCTGGCGAGGGCACCGGAGAGCCCAACATAGCGAAAAACCTCCCGTCGTGTTTCTTCCCAGACATGCGGACTACGGTCCTGATTGTTCAATACGGGGTCCCTGGGTCCCTGAAGTCCCGACCCTGGCCCCAGGACGGTTTTTCATCCTGAGTCGTTGTTTGACGGCCCCGGAGGCACGGGCGAGGGCCCCGAGGCCGAAATGGCCAAGCCTCCAGTCCTGATCGTTTTACGACGCGAGGCATATCGGGGCTCATGGCTCAGGGGATTCTAGGGGAGGGTGGGGCACAAGGCACAACAGCTGCGACGTTGGGGTCCTCCTCCTCCTCCTCCTCCTCCTCCTCCTCCTCCGCCTCCTCCTCCTCCTCGTCTTCCTCCAGTCCCCCCCTCCTCCTCCTCTTTCTCTTTCTCTCCTCTCCCCCTCTCCTTCCCTCCATCCCTCCTCCTCTCCTCCTCCTCCTCCTCCTCCTCCTCCCTCCCTCCTCCTTCCTCCCTCCTCCTACCTCCTCCTCCTCCCTCCCTCCTTCCCTCCTTCCTCCCTCCCTCTCTCCCTCGCGCCTCGCTCCATCCCTCTCTCCCTCCCTCCCTCCCTCCCTCTCTCATCCTCACCCTCCTCCAGGGTCAATCAGGAGTCAGGCCTTGCAAAAATCCTGCAGGATCCTGCAAGATCCTCGCCCAAATCCGGGTCCAATGCGAAGGATCCTGCATGATCCTGCAGGTCCTGAACCCAAAAGCCTGGGTCATTCCTTGTGCGAACCTTGTGCCCTGCAAGATCCTGCATAGACAAGATCGAGCGCTCTGGCGGACCACCGCTTGCATCGACCCCAGTCTCTTGAACCCGAACTGCTGCGCGTTGGGCGCATAGACAGGAACCAGGCCGGGCAGCGGGCATCGGGAATCGGCTCTTCGGGCCAGGCGGCTGGTGGTGCACGGGTTTCCCTGGGGGCCGTAGGCGACCTGAGGTGGAGGAGAAGGAGGAGGCGGAGGAGGATGAGGAGGACGAGGAGGAGGCCTCCGTAGCCATTTTGGCTCAAGTCCGTAGCGGTTTGCTCAGGACGAGAGTTTTTTTGGCAAGGGGATCCGCGGCCCCACCTGCTCCACACCTCGGGACTGCACTGAGGTTTCATCCCTCACTGCCTTTGCGCACCTACGGCGTGTGTCGTACCCTCCGCGGGTGCGAGATGGCATTTTGGCAGCAGTCTTGTTGGTGTTGTGCCAACAAACAGTGTAAGTTCAAGTACAACTATGAGTGGCGTGATCGATGCCTCCGCTGTGGCAAGGATGAGGGCGGCCCCAGTCAGCGCGTGGTCCAGCCCCGCGGCGTCTGGGCTGGTGGCATCTCCCCTTCCGTACGTGCGCCCAAGCCGAAGGGTCCTCCGCCCCTCACCGATGCGCAGGTCCGCGCCTATGCCGCCATGGACCCCGCTGCGCATGAGGCCGTTGCGGACACGCTCAGCCAGTCGGCGAGGGATCGCATCCAGCACCAGCGGGGCCTCCTCTCGGGTGATCCGCAGCTGGTGTCGAGGGCCGCGCAGAAGGAAAGTGATGTGCTCACGGATCGGCTTGGCAAGGTGCAGAAGAAGTACGACAAGGCGCAGGAGAACCTGCACCGCGCCGTCCGCTGGGCAGCAGAGGTTGGCGCTGAGCTCGAAGAGCTCCAGCAGCAGCAGAAGGAGGCGGCCGCGCGCGGGGCAGCGGCACTTGCGCGTGTGGGCGGCACGGCCGCTGCCGCGCCTGGCACGCCGCCTGGCCAGTGCGACGGGCTGCCCCAGCAGGCGCGGCTGCTTGGCGACGCCGAGCTCGAGGCCAAGCTCACGGAGGTGGCGGCGCAGCTGACGATCGCCCAGCAGGAGCTGCAGGCGAAGGCCGCGCAGGCCCAGCCCCCCCCCGCCCCCCCCACCCCCCCCCCCCCCCCCCCCCCACCCCCCCCCCCCCCCTCCCCCCCTCCCCCCACTCCCCCCCCCCCCCCCCCCCCTGCCCCCCCCCCCCCCCCCCCCCCCCCCCCCCCCCCCCCCCCCGCCCCCCCCCTGATGCGCCTGCTGGCACCGCCCCGTCTGGCGGTGCCCAGCCTGGCGCCGCCAGCGCGGGCCTCCCTTCGGGATGCGGCCTCGCGGCAGCAGGGGCAGCGGGTGCAGGGCAGCCTGCGCCGCCTACTGCAGCTCCTGTGGGTGGCGCTGACCCTGATGAGCGTGCCCTTGCATGGGCAGCCCGCAACGAGCAGAAGCTGCTCGAGGCCTGCGCCAGCGCAGTCGGCGACGACGATGACATGGACCTCGACGAGGGCGCCAAGCGGGTCATCAAGCAGCGTGCCATCCAGCTGTTCGGCCAGGCGCTCAAGAAGATGCGGTCCACCTACTCCGTCCCACCGCAGTTGGGGTGGCCCGCAGTGCCGCCCGTTGACTGTTCGCACGGCGAATGTTACGAGCATGCCTGGGCTTGAGCTGCTCAGGCAATCTGATGAATGGTATCATTGTGACTTGGCGCTTGTGCAAGAGCACAAAGTGCCGCAGCGCCAGCGTGACGCGCAGGAGCAGGCGCTGCGCAAGGCAGGCTGGAAGGCAGCCATCAATCCTGCCGTCCGCGCTAGTGCTGCTGATGGCGCCTCAGACAGCTTGGCGGGTTTGACTGGTGGCACCATGATTGCCACGCCTGTTCGCTATGGGCTCAGCCAGCTAGAAGGCCTCTCGCATTGCGTGTGCCCAGCCAGAGCCTCACTGCTGCATCTGAGCCATGATCCGAAAGGAGGTTTGCTTGTTGGCACCATGTACCTGCACGACTCTGAAGACCTCAGTGAGGGGAACTGGCGCATCCTCTGCGACATGGGCCAGGCCGTCAAGTGCTCAGGCCTTCCTTTCATCCTCAGTGCGGACTGGCAAGTTACGCCCGAGGAGCTCATGGAGAGTGGCTGGGTGGCAGGCATTGGTGGCGTCGCGGTAGCCCCCAAGCTGGGCACGGTCAGGCCTTCGGAGCGCGTCATCGACTAGTTCGTGATGTCGCCCTTTTTGGCGGCAGGAGCTCAGCTGACAGTTCTGGAGCACATCGCGATCAGTCCGCATCGTGCAGTTCAGGTTCGGCTACAGGTGCCACGTCGGCCCCCAGAAGTTCGTGTCGTTCAGCAGCCGCGCAAGTTTCCAGCTCAAGCTCCCATTGGCTGCTGCAGGGAGTTCGAGGAGCCCGACTGGGAGCAGCTTGCAGGCGACATGCGACAGCCCGACGTCACTGTTGACACAGCCTGGGCTGCGTTCATCGAGGCTGCGGAAGCTAAATGGTTGAATGCGTTTGATGTGGAGCCTCGGCAGGCCGAGTACTATCGAGGACGTGGAGACCCACCTCGTCTAAAGACCCTTCGACCTCCGCGGCCATGCTCGGTACCCTTTCCGCAGACCAATGCTGAAGCTACCTGGTGGCGAGGTTTGGCACATGCGCTGCTGGACTACGGCAACCTGCAGGGCGGCTGGGATGCTGTGACTCGTAGGCGCCGTCTCACTCGCCATTGCCGAGCCATTTCGTTGCCGCGCCAGTGTCAGCTAGCGGTCAATGTTGCTAGACTCGTCCTCCATAGCCCCCCGCCCCCCGCGCCCCACCTGCTAGTTTTAAAAATGTTTGCGCAGCAGCAAGCTGAGCTCGCTGTTCGAGCCAGCCAGCGAGCCAAGCAGCGGGGGTGGGAGGACTGGGTTCACAAGCATATCACTGAGCAGGGCGCATCTGCTCTTTTCAGTTTCTCCAAGGTGCCTACAGGATGAACGCCTGACGACACGACGGTCGATCACGTCCCCCTAGGCTCAGCCGAACAAATTGAGCAGCTCAGGGTTGGATGGGAGTCATGGTGGTGCGTCTCAGTGCCCCACCCTGTGCTTCCCTGGCCGGATCTCTCCCTCCTCGTGCCTCCTCCTCGTCCGTCTGTCCCTGAGCTGCTAGCAGTCCTCAAAAGCTACAAGCCCACCACGGGCCAAGGTTATGATTGTATAAACCCGCGGCATTTTTTGCACCTAGGCCTCGAGGGCCTGGACACGCTCTGTGAGCTTTTGCATTTGATTGAGCTGAGGCTAGACTGGCCCGCCGCGTGGGTCAAAGTGTTCTTCTTGGCCAAGCGTCTGGGTGGTTTTCGGCCGATTGCTCTCTTGCCTGTGCTCGCGAGGGTCTTGACTCGCTTACGGAAGTCCGAGATCCAAGATTGGCAGAGAAGAAACTTTAGAAGCTTTTCTTGGGGGACCCGCGGCAAGGCCGCAGATAAGTGCGTCTGGGTGCAGGCCGCGTGGGCCGAGTGGGCTCATGGCCAAGGGATGGCGTCTGTGACGGTGTTGGTGGACCTCAAAAAGGCCTTTGAGCTCATTCGGCACCATCACCTCGTGGCCGCCGCAGAGCGCACTGGATTCCCGATGAGACTTCTGTACCTCCTTATCAAGCTGTATCGTCAGCCGCTGATTTTAGACATGGGCATTTTTGTGTCGGAGCCCATACTGTCTGAACAGAGTGTCCTGCCAGGTTGCGTTTTCGCAACAATGATGCTACAGCTCGTCTTGCTACAGCCCTTAGATGAGGTGCGCAAAGTTGCTCGTGCAGTTTCGCTCTCTACGGTTGTCGATGATATAGGTCTGCAGCGCTTCGGTGAAGAGGAGCGATCCCATGCAGATCTCACTGCAGCAGGCTGTGAGCTAGCCCGTCAGTTGGAAAAAGTTGATTTGTTGGTGGCGAAAGATAAGACGCGCTTCATGAGCAGTGTGGCCCCTCTCAGGACGTCTTTAGAGGCCAGCCTTAAATGCCTGGGAGGGCAGCGCTCTCGCTCTGAGAGGAACCTGGGGGTTGACTTTGGGTCTGGGCGGAGGTTGGGTCGCGCCACTAAGCGAGAGCGTTTGGCTGCTGCCGTCGTCCGCTCGAGGCGTTCAAAGATTTTGCAAAGAGCTAAACGTCGCCGACTCGTCGCTCGCATGGTCAAAACCACCGTGGAAACCAGCGTTTCATATGGCACTAGCGTCACTGGGACCAATGGGCAAGAGCTCCAGAGGCTTAGGCAGTTGGTAGGCAATCAGGGTCCCACCAGCTCCGCTTCCCTCACGCTCCGTCTCCTGCTCACCCCTGGCTGTCGGGTGGACCCTATTTTCAAGGCTTCCGCCGACCTGCTTTGCGCCATGTTGGCCGCGTGGAAGCAGCAGTGGGTCCCCCAGCACATAATAACGCAAGGAATTCGGCAGGCCCAACAGCGAGCTCGATCCAGCAAAGGCAGTCCGTGGCAGTCTGTTGCGGGACCCTTCACGGCCTACCTGGCCACGCTCGATCGGTTGGGAATTCTGGCCGATGGTTTTAGTTCTTGGACTTCCCCCTGGGGCCTCACTATACAGCCGGCCACCCTTTGCGTCCATGGGCTAAGAAAGCTCATCGACTTGGCCTGTGAGGCCTGGCAGTGGAAGCAGATCAGCACCACGCTTGACTGCCCCGAGCTCAAGTCAGGCATCTTGCTCGAGCCAGTCCTCAGTTTGCTCGGTCGCCCTTCGCCGCTGTCACCTGACGAAAAGGCCTATCTTCGTTCTGTCGTCATCGGTGCCCAGTGGACGTAGCAGCGCATGTTCGAGGCAAAATATGTGCAGTCCCCGCTCTGCTGTATCTGTCATAGTTTCTCGGGCACGTTGTATCACCGTCATCTGTTGTGTGATGGGTTGGTCTCTGCCAGCTTGCAGCCCGCGGGCCCTCTCCGTCGTGCCCTGCCGCAGGAATCCACAGAGCTCGTGAATTTGCTTGGCAGCCGTGTGCTGCTTCCTTTCGACAGGTTCCCGCAGCGGCCAGAGCCCGCGCCAGAGCAGTTCTACCTTGGTGAGCGTAGCTTGCTCACTGGGGACATATTCGTAGACGGCTCCATGCATGATCATGATGTGCCAAATGCTGTTGTCACGGGTTGGGCTGTCATTGCCATGCATCCTGATCCTCCTCCTCCGAGGGCGCTCGACGATTTTCGTGTTTCGGTTGTCTTCGGAGGCGGAGTCGAGGGCCCGATTCAGTGCATCGATCGTGCTGAGCTGGTGGCGGTTTTGAACACTCTCAGAGTTGCCATGCCACCAGTCACCATCCATACTGACAGTGATTTTGTTTTCTCAGGCGTTGTCAAGCGTGGGCGGGAGGCATGCTGTGCTTTGCTCTCTGCCCATGCTGACGTCTGGGAGCTCCTCTGGACAAAGCTGGAGGACTGGGGTGGGGTGGGGCCCGCTTCCGTCACGTTTGTCAAGGTTAGGGCCCACCCCACCCCAGAGCAGCGCCGCTCCATCGACCCGCGTCTTCTCGCGGGCAATCGATTTGCCGACGAGTGGGCGAAGAAGATAGCGAGTCTGGGGCGCTTAGATTTCGAGCTTCGTGTTCGGTGTCAGAAGTTGTCGAGGCTTGTGTGCGCGGTGGGTGAGCAGGTAGGCAGGGCCGCTCCCCTCGCGGCCACCGACACCGAGCGCCTCACGGCGTCCCAGTTGAAGGCGGCTCGCGCCGCGCGGCGCCAGGCCAGCGAGCTGGCCGCCGCCGCCGCCGCCGCCACCGCCGCCCTCGCCCCACCTCCGAGTGCTCCCCCCCGTCGTGTCGTTCTCGCTGGGGGGCACGCTCTGAGAAGGTGGGTCAGCGAGGAGCGTGGCGACAATTCGGGCGGTGTTGTCTGTGTTAACTGTGGGGCCATCTGCACCACACACGTTGTAAAGCTGGGCCAGGTCTGTGGGCACCCCTCGGCTTGGGGCAAGAGGGTTCTCAGAGGCCTGGACCAGAGGAAACTGTTGTTTCGTGGCCGCTGGATTTCGGTTCAGCTTGGTCCCCTTGTTCCTGAGAGCCCGGAGGTGATCTGATCTCGAGCTGTGTACAGCGGTAGGGGGCAGGCTCACTGACCCCCCGTTGTTGGCAATCTGTG